CTTAAAATAATATATAGAGGGAACACTTCATAAGACTTCAATGTATTAGCATAAACCTTGTTTGAACCTTCTGCTTTGCAGAGATCCGAGCTTGCATTAATTTACCAAGGGGGAGAGAGAATATCATCCTTTATCACGTTTAATTATGCTCTATCGTATTACAAGTTTTAATTATATTCTTAATTATGTGATTAATAAAGGAAAGGAAAGTTGTCGGATGTAATAGCTTAGACCACAAAATTGGATCGCATTATCACGGGCCGAGAGCCGACATGTTGCGCGATCTTGAGGAATCACCCTCCGTGTCCGCAATTGCCAAAAGTCCCACCTTTTGATTTCGCGCGACGCGACACTTGTTCAAAGCCATTTATTTCCCACGTTTCCTGACAAGCAATTGCCTTCGCTTCCCATTCAGCGCTATGGCCGCTCTCTCTCCTAGGAACAGTTATCACGTGAGAATCGTAAATCATGGTGGTACCAGTGGGAGCCATAGATTTTTATAAAAGTATTCTTTTGCGTGCGCAATATTCATCAACCTTGCATCGTTATTATCACGTACTGTTTCTAACTTACATTGATTTATCCTTTCTCCTCCATACGTTTTACTTAGAAACAGATTACTCTGTGCACGTTTTACCTTTAGTTAAAAATAGAAAGCTCTATTGCATGTCTATTGCTAATCTTTGAAACTTTTCTTCTTTCTCTTGTCGTCTGTTTTTGTATATTTACAATTAGAAGTTTTAGCTCGTTTGAAATCTACAGTTAATTTTATACATTTATAAAGGTTCAGAGCATTAATCTTACTCAGTACAAAAATTTTGTATTAAATTTTACGCGTATCAGTATATTCACTCTAATTTTTATGTTAATTTAACAGAAGACAAAAATGTAAAGAAATAACAAAAAATTGCAACACATTGACGCTATCTGGAAACAAAGTTTATGTTAAATTCGCATACTTATAATGTTAAATTTAATTATAAAATATTATTTTTACATTAAATGCTATTCTTTCTTCTCTTTTTCTTGCAAATACAGAAGACAGCAATATCTTATCTTTATAGGCTGCGTTATTTGCTGTCAGTACTGAAAATCTATAGTTTACGTCACGTAACACTATAAAATTTTAGTACTGGCAGTGAATATCGAGATGCAGCCATAATATATAACATAAGAAAATGTCGATTTAACAGATGGAAACTCTTATAGAGAGGAAACTAACACAACTTAGGTGTTTATTTTAACACACACATATATATATGTATATACATATATATATAAAGTATGTCACCAAGAATTCGTGCATTTACATATAAATTGTGTTATTTTAACTCTTAGAGACGTTGAATATTAACTTAACGCAGAAAGCCAAAATAACACAATGACAATATGTTACATTAGCACCATCAATGTATGTTAAAAATTTAATACAAAAAATTCTACATGAATAGAAACCCTCCACTCAAATACAAAACGTTTTTTACCGATGAAAGCATTTAAGTTCTAAAAATTGAAATTCTCAAATTTGCAAAAATAGAACAAATTTATATCCTATCTACATTGCAAATCAGCGACTCTAATAAAAACCAAAAACCTATTTGTTTCCGAATAAAAACGCAAATATCTTTTGAGTGGAATCTATTAAAAATGCGTATCGATATTGCGAATGCGTTCAACTTATGGCTGTCGATCGGACGAATTCGTCTTTTCTATTTTCCGCGTTGGATCGGACGCATCTTTCGGCGGCGTGAATAATGCATGCTCAAATCCGGTGTTTGGATTTATTTCTCGCGTTCGAGCGCGAGTGGTATGTACACCTCGCCAGAAGAACGCGCCTCCTTGAATGAAGATCTATGGATCTTCGACGGCACAAATCTCCTCTTTTTTTGGGCTTTCACAGTCTCTTTCAAAACTCGCTCAGGATGCCAAACACTTTGGAACGGTGCCATGATTTAAGAGCCATCACGTCTCGTCGACTGATAGCTTTCTGTATCTTACAGCTCGTTCATCATGTCGGACATAACTGATACTCAAATAATTCAGATAACGGGCACCGATTAATCATAAATTATGTACTTATAAGAATCGATAGGCACTTTGTGATATCGACGAGAGAGCTATAAAAGTTCGATGAGCTCTTTTTTACCGGTATTTAAAACGTTTAATATGGACGATTAATTTTTTACTCTTCGAGCTTCTATAACGCTCATGTTTTTAGCAACTGTTAATTATATTTTAATGTACCTACCCGTCGCCATTCTACATTATTATATGAATTTAATATATTTATTAACTTTAGATTAAAATACGTTCTCGTCGAAATGATGTTCTAAACGCGACTAAATATAACTCGCTAAATCCAGCTTATATATATCTGTCAATTTATTTATGGAATGGCAATCACGTCCGCATATTATTAATTCAGTCACATTTTTTAACAATAAAGCTTATGGTATTTTGCCCGTCACGGTTTTTCATGACATATAAACGAGATTTACTGATTGACGGAATAATCTTTTAACAACGTTATTACTGTTCCATTGTATAAATAATCGATAATACGTGCAATGCGATGAAATATGTATTTATTCATAACGTGTAATGGAATATTTTCAGCGTGCGTAATACATTCATAAATGCGCTTGCCTTCTTTCCTTCTCATGGCGACACCATTTTACGCTAGTTAACTCTCCCGTTACACTATAACGTAAGCATGTGTACATACATATGTATACGTACACACGGCAAGTTATCGCCGAAAAAATCGCATTAATATGTCATGAGTCTCTGCCGGGGAGACACATGCGATATTTAAATAAACCTGAAGTGTGGCAACACGATGCATTCCGGATTTATGCAGTCGTTCGGAGAACTACCTCGCAGATATACACAACGCATGCATCTGCGTGATGTTTGCCTCACCATATTTAAATCATCCGAACATACCCCGGGCCGGGTATAATATTCTCGAGTCTCTCTCGCCCGAACGCTCTCTCTCCGCGAACAGGCGCAGGCGTTTTCACAAAATGCGCTGAATGCGCGATAAAATCTCGTAACGAACGCGCGGCGAGTATACGTAAATATTCACGAAATTAAATCGTAAGTACAAACCGCTTGATGTCGTTCGAAAATTAATGAAATTTTATTGCTTCATATATATCTCGTTCTCGACAGTTTCCGTGCATTTCGCGATTGATTACACACGTGCAATATCGATAAAACACTCGCCAATTTTACGGAAAATTTAAAGGATTCGGCCAATGAAGTATAAAGAGACGGATTCAAAAATTCTGTACACATATTTTTGTCGTGTACACGAAAATCTACTGCTTGTGAATATTCGGAGCAATAAAAGGGTTTGAAAATTAATCCCTTATAATTTCAATCGTAAATTTATCGAAATAAATCCCTTATCGTTTTCTCTCGCAATGCAATTCTATAATTAAATTGCAGAGTCGCGGAAATAATTTCTAGGCGGCTTAAAAATTAAGCAGCGTGTGATATATTTGCCACGGTTTGTGCTAAATGCGCCGGATATTCCGCGACATTTAAGGGATTAACGATAAGATCGTCGCAGAGAACGAAACGCATCCGCCTCTCTGTGAGAAGTCCTCTCGTCGACGCTGAACACACTCTCCAAGTCGACCGAGTTTCGTCTGTTCAAAAGCTACATTCAGCGAAATCTAATTGGCTCCGAAAACGTTGGCGGACGAATGCCGGTTATTATAACGCGAAGTGCAAACTATGCACCTAATAACGGAGGCAATTTGATACTGTTAAACGTGTTGCACTTCATATAATCGTATGCATATAGTACAGCCGTTAATGTGAATTTGTTTTCCTAATAGTAATACCTTTAATATTTACGTTAAACCTTAAACTCGTTACCGAGAGCTATTTATACATTTACAAAGTAAACACGAGAAATTTTGCATAAATTTCTAGGCGTCTTAAACAATTTGCATCTCCTGAATATTTGCTTCATATAACTTGTAAAGAAATTAAGCAAGTTTATCGATATTTTTATTAAATACAATGATTTCCCGAGACTATGTTATATCTTATTTTTTTATTATATCGTGTTATTTTTTTACTAAAAAATAGAAGAAATAAGTGAAAGCAATAATTAAAAATTGGGATCGTAATTTTTTAATTAATTAATGTCATTTAACTTATATCTATTGAAATCATTTTTTGCTTTAAGAATTTAGTGAAATTTAGAAGTTATAATTACACTACATTAAGAAAATAATCAAGCGTTGACTTCTATTAGCGGATGGTTTATAATTGTTTTGTGTATCGGCTACTCGCCTCGAGTAGATAGAAGAGCGATTGTCCAACGCACAGTAATAGCAGGTGCACTTCCATACCGAATTGAGAATTGCACGGGATTCCTTAATTACGAACAGCGTGTGACGCTGTAACTTGTAGGAAGGCTCTAACGAGCGCGACCGAATTGTGCACGACAAAACAAACTCGGGTAACTCCATACAGTCGAATTTCATCCATCACGACAGTTATCCGCGTAAATCTCTATCGAATAGAGAAGAAACAGAGTGAAAAAACATACGCATATATAGAAATCCAGCGGCGCATCGAAAGGAGCAACGTTTAAAACAATTTTTCAGTAACTCGAGACAGATTGTAGCTTATGCATGTAACAGGAATTTCTCTTTTATTTCTAAAGATACTCCAAATGCTTTTGCAAATAATAAAAATATAAATGAATTCTATACAGTGTTTTTTAAGCATAATCCAATGTTTAGAAGTTGATACTAAGGTTTCCGAAACAGACACGAGTGGATGTAGCTATAGCGAATAGAGTGTTAGGGGTATTATAGCAACGTAAAAGCGCCATTGTGGAAATTGCACTTTAATTTTGTCCGACATTTTAGAAAGCGCTTTTAAGTGACGTCCCGATAAAAATAAGTATTCTCTTTATTATATCATTATTGTGCAGCAGCGAGAGAATATATCTTGGCACTTTTCCCTCGTTTCAGGACATATCGGAGTACAAATGTGAAAATGGCAAAACGCCCACTTACGTTCCCCACAAGCCAGTAACTGGTGTGATAGGCGCCGCATTCAGCGTGGTTTCTATTATGGTTGCCAACATCTTGCGGCTTTTTAAGGTAATTATTTGTCTAATCCGTATAATCTAATAATCTATTTCGAAGAGTGCTTCAAATCTTCATGTATAGCATAATTATAATAAGTTTAATTTTATAATTAATTCTCAATTTTTGTTTTAACGAAGAAATATTAAAATATCCTAGGTAGAGCAAGATGTAAAAAAATGACGACAAATATAACATCAGGTTACTACCTGGGGCATTAAGATTATATAAAAATTTTCTGATATAGTATATATCGTGTGTGTATATATCGCAAGGATTTCATGCAATTTATTTAATTTTTTTTTTGCAAAATTCCTAGAAAATCCATAAAAAACCAGGATATTGTAGAATGAATAAAAAATATAAATATAAATTATAAAAGGACAGTTTGTATAGGTTCTGTCAGACTGAAATTGTGACCGGATTTGACAGGATTTTGCAAAATCACTAATAAGATTGTGTAATCTTTATTCATTCCACAATATTCCGGTTTTTTGCGGATTCTCTAGGAATTTTGCAAATAAATAAAAACAAATTATACGAAATCTCTGCGACATATATGTAATACTATTTCTAGTCATATTTAAATTAAAAGTGAAAAAACAGTGTACAAGCATACCTTTATGCTGCATGACTGGTATTTCTTTAGTTACAAATAAATTGTTGCGTTTTAAATTTACTTTGCATAGAGACATTGCTATCAATATACCGCACGTATATAGGCACATCATCTCATGCAAAGTTAAAAATATAAAAAGAATTTAAAAAGCAAGATTTCCTAAAAGCGTGACATTTCGTTACTTCGTTCGGCCTTTATTCGCACGATTCGACGTATTGTTATGCCACGTGTGGCTGTCGAGATTGAGAGCGAAAAATAACCGATTCGAGAGGCAGCTTCGTAGAAAGCACGGCCGGATATCGGCAGGTCTTGCAGGACTTTGTGAAAACGTAGCTTCTTTTGATATACGAAGGTTACAAATGGTAGTGTATTTGAAAGAAAAAAAAGAGAGACCGAAAGAGAAAGCGCAACTACGGCAGAGCAATTTCAGCTTTTTCGAAAATGGAATGGCTGAAACTTTGTGACCGGTAATGACGACTATATCAATCATAGTCATTCATCCATGAGGATCAAGCCGGGAAGAGCCATTCTCGCGCCATCGATCGGTCCCCGTCCTTATCAGACACGGATAAGAATCCCCCTCCTCTCCTCTGCACTTATAACGCCTTATTCGAAAATACGTCGCGCAGCACGAGTTCGCTGAAAGGAATCCGGTGATTCGCGCAAAATCGGCTTGCCAAAGAAGCTCCCACCGTTGTCAAGACGTTCTATCGATCCGCCGTCACCGGCGTTGGACGTGCGAATGGATTTCGTGACCGTCACAGCTCCTGTCAAAATACGAAATATGATTATGTCCCGCAGATTCCCATACATAATTCAATTTTCTGATATGCTGTTCAATCTTCATCCCTTTACGTACATTGTGGCTGCGTGTCTTTATCTTGAACTATATATATTGTAAATAATAATGAAATTGTTCTACGGATTGATCTGCGTAAAGTTTAAAACACTTTATATTTTTATATTAAAAATATATTTTATAGTTAATAGGGTATTTGAAGTCGTAAAGAAAGGAATTTTTCAGGAATGTTTTGTAGCTATAGGGTAACGAAAAAAGCGAGGAACGCTAAATTTTGCATGTTCTTTTAGCTTTATCTCTTCTTTTATGTTATATCTTGGTCACTAAAAGCTTGCAAGAAAAAAACGTATATAGACGGTGTAAAAGATTCTAGGTGTTTTAGGTATCTGAAACGCAAAGACCAAAAATTTTTTTATTCAGGAAAAGTGTGGCTATTGTCTGAACTAGAATAAACATTACGAGTTTATTAGTTTCTTCTTTTAATAAAATACTAATAAAATTTTGAGGAAAACTGTAATATTTTTAATAAAAAGGTCACCATTTTTAAAAATGGAAATATTGGTTTATCCTAAATAAGAGAATTTTTGGTCTTTGCGCTTCACATACCTAGAAGAACAACTAGAATCATTTACACAGTCCATATGTATTTTTTCTTGCGAGCTCCAATTATAGTGACCAGAATATAACATAAAAAAGAAGAGCGTTTTGTTAGAAAATAAAAATACATTCTTAAAATAAAGCTAAAAAAATATGCCAAGTTTAACGTTATTTGCTTTTTTCGTGTAAATATAAAAAATTCCTATAAAAAATTCCTGAAAAAACCTTTTTTTACGACCTTTCAAACCAAAATATCCCTTCAATTATTTCATGTAAATTTTATTTTAAAAGTATCGTTTGATATAGTTCATTTTAACGATTCGTTGTGTCTTGATACACGATAAAATAGAAACTAAACAGTTACATATTACATATGTTACACGACAAGGCTTTAGAGTTTTTGGAGTTGTCGAAACTGGTCGCGTACACGTAATAAACTCTCAAGTTATGTCAATGTAGATGAAGAGATATCAGATAAGTCCCGGTCTACAATAGGTGTTCTAAGCCCTAAGCCTTAAGAAATTGTTCAATCACAGTTGAATTTGAGGAAAATAATTGACTGTGATTGGTCAATTTCTTAGGGCTTCAGACTTGGAAACTCGTGTAACACGCTAAAAAGTAAGGTAACTTTTAGAATTTTTTTTGAAGAATCAATGCGCAAGAAATAAAAAAAATTTTTTTTTTGTTAAAAAATAATAGTTGTGTTAGGAACTATGGAGGTTACGAGGCCGCGGTCTGGTCGCTGGAGTTGTAAATCGGCGGGCGTTACAGCGCCTGTTGTACTCGCCTAAAACAAAAATAAAAAAAATTTTTTTATTTTCTATAAAATTACGTCGTCGATGAACCTAAAAAAAAAGGTAAAAGTGCAAATTTAAGGAAACGGCGGGACTTAAAAAATAGTTGCAATTTTGACAAAAAATTTTTGTTTTTTTTAAGTCCCGCCGTTTCCTTAATTTTGCACGTTTACCTTCTTTTTTAGGTTCATCGACGACGTAATTTTATAGAAAATAAGAAATTTTTTTTATTTTTGTTTCAGGCGAGTACAACAGGCGCCATAACGCCCGCCGATTTACAACTCTGGCGACCAGACCGCGGCCTCGTAACCTCCATAGTTCCTAACACAACTATTATTTTTTAACAAACAAAATTTTTTTTTCTTGAAATGTCCTTTTCTAAAAAGGAGATGTGAAGTTTATTGTTGCCGCTTTTCCGCGATGCCGATTGGTTTTCTTGCTGCGCTTACTTCATTTATTGCAGCTGTCATTGTATATTTTGACAGTTGTGTATAATAGGGTTAATAGTGAAATGTTAAAGATAAATAGCGCGCGCGTAGCGCGCGTCTGCAGTGTCTAGTATAATAAAAAATCCTAAAAGTTTGAAAAAGATTCGTCGCATTGATTCTTCAAAAAAAAAAAATTCCAAAAGTTACCTTACTTTTTAGCGTGTTACACGCGACTCCCCCCTTAAAACATCTATTGTAGACTGGGACTAAGAAGACCCGAAATGCACCGCTGCATGGAGTCGCGCTGAGTGTTACCGAGGATTTTTATTGTACATACACTCTTTTATCGCTTTTCTCATTATTTTATAACGACCCACTTGGGTTTGAAAACTACTTCTTTTTCTATTTATTGGTGGAAACCAAGTACCCTTTTCAGTTCACTTTCCGCCGACAGATATTCACTGTGGACAAAGACCGTCCGCGGTATATTTTCGTAATTCTTTCCGTCGGTTTACGATTTTACTCAAATAAGCTGAAGTAAATGCGGAAGATACTTTGAAACTGTCTCTGCTATATATCTCAGTGTATCTTCATTAAATCTTCGTGTTATGAAACTTTGTTTAGTGTGTAATTAAGTTACTCTCACTTTCTTAAATATTTTATGTCAAACTTGTAATTAAGGATTTAGAAAAAGGTAAAAATTTTAACACAGTTACGCAAACGTATAAAAATTTTTGAACTTTTTGCAACGTCAATTTTTAAATTTAAGTGTTGAGGTAATATTGATCAATAATGTTTGCTAAACAAAAACGCAAAAGTTAATAAACAGTATGAATAGTGATATAATGACTGGTATTTACTCCCACTTTAGTTATTAAATTCAATGCAATATCATGCAGGTGTACTAATTATTGTAACATTATCGCGAAATAATTACCGATCTCGCGAGAAGTTTTTACCGTTATTACGTTACATCATAGCACGTACGAGTTTGCAAATTTTATAATTACCAAACTGTGCAATTATTGCGAAACGCATGCATTATGGAAAAAACTTAGACCTTTACGTGTTGAAACGTTAGGAGAATGGCCGTGTGTTATTTTACTCGTTATTCACTTGAGTTAATCTTCGCCACATCGCAAACCTTCGCGCGCGTCGCATTAAATTTACATAGCAAACGTAACTCGTTCGTTAGAATACCCGGTATGAACCCGCTCGTTGCACTCGATAGTTATGCGATGCTTTTCCTTTGTACGCCGCGGGGCGCAATTAACCCTTTGTGCCACGTGCATATTCGTATTATGTCAACTGCCTATAGTAAAAAGCAAATTTGAAAGTCTTTGAGAGTCAATATAACGAGAGATAATTAAGACACGATTAATCCAAACGTGTTAGAGCAAGCGTACGGAAATAACAATACTAATTATAGTTTTATTAATATCATTTTAATTATAAAGAAAACTATCAAAAAATAAGATTACATTTCAATTTCTTATATAAGCTTGCGAATCAATTCTTTTAAACCTGAAAATTGAGCCAGCTATCGTCTTTTATGATCTTATTATTTTCTATATTATATACCTCCATGTAGCTAAGAATATAAATTGAAAATTTTGAAAATTTATGAAACTAATATTTACTTGTAATTCTCCGGATACACTTTGATATTAGAACCCTTTTATTAATTTCATCTCCAGCATTCTTAAATTTAAGTCGAATGCGCCATATCTCTCAATAATTTCATGAATAAATAGTGATAAATCTATCTTTTTGATCTGTTATATTTTCTTCTTTTCTCAAATAATAAACTTGAAATTATTTTATCTTCAGATCTCGTATATATTGCAATTTCTATTCAGCATCATCGTTCCATATATTGACGTTGATCAATACGCCGTGAGAGATAAATTGGCGACTAATTACATAACGACTCACATTTCATAAAACGTCCTATTTATTTGGCCGACTGTCGTTAATTCATTCATTTCAATTCTTTTTCTTGTCGAGCAGCTTTAATTGTTCAAATCGATTCCGACGGCGAGCTGTGCATCGCGCCGCAAATCGCAACTCCGCTCATTGGAATTGCAATGAGCCGTTTATTGCATCACTCCGTCTAAAACGTTGGAAATCGCCGTAGAAAGGCGCGCCAAGATTATTGATAGTAATTTAATTAGGGAATGTAGCGAGGCTCCAAAAGAGAGAGAACTGTCTCTGAAATTCATGTTGAGCATTTTGTGCAGAAAATTGAGTGTTCTTCGAGTATGAATTACTTATTAATAAATGCAAAGCATTAATCTTTTAGATAATTGCAACTATTATCTTAATCACATGGTAATTAATATTGTATTTAATGTATTCGCTGCATGGTACTTAAAAGTCTTGTAATATTTTTTCTTATTTATTGATCTTTTATAGGTATTTCGTGTAATAAATATAATCTTTGAAAAGTATATTGAATTATTTCTCATCGATTAAATCATTTAGGCAGATATGTGTGTTCTGAATTTTGGCCGTGACACGGTTGTGACCGCAGCGCGGGGAGACAAAACGTTAATTGAGTCCAAAATCAATTAAACTCTAAATTGTAATGGGGAGTGTGAGTGAATAATTTACATAGAATTATGAGCCACTATCACATATTGATTTAGGTTTGAGCTTAACCATATTTAATACATACACAACTAGACGCGTCTTTATTAGGGGATACATTAAAATACATTAGCCAATAAATTCCCTCGTTTTCTTCAAAAGGTCGAGTAAATTGCGCGCATAATGAGTAATAAAATTACACGTTTTGGAGTGACTATTGCAATCGCTCTGATATATTTAGTGGCGAAACCACTTTATAAGATATAGAGAGTATCGATGATATTTATTTCGACGTGCGGGGGTTTGAATTCCCATGTACGGATTCGTCTCTATTATGGAAATTACAGCCCCCGTGCAAATGACGTACCAAATGGCTTACAAAACGAGACGGCTGTATTGAGTAGAGATCTAATTGCTACCGGTTGGGAATTAGTCATCGTAACATCAAACCGTTTCTATTGATCTCGGTCTCTCCTAATTAAAAGGTCCTAATTAGTAATTATATCTTTGGGCGGTAGTTTATGAAATTAAATATCTTTCGTGTGTCACACGTATTTAGTTGTAAATGTAATCCTCCTCACAAATTCCCACTTAATAAGAGCGTATTCAATTTAAAAAGAAAGAATTGAGCAGCCACATCTGGCATTAAATGAGCGACGAGAACTTTAACAATAATCATTAACTGCGTTCGTTGGTAACAGCAGCGACGATTTGTATTTTTTCTGTCTTTCTTTGAAGGCAATAATTAACTAATTAATTCCAGTCAGCGTGTAACCGAGAAACCTTTGCAAATCACAGTACATTAATCCTCGGTAACATAGTAGCTACACGATGCGAATCTATTCAGGCGCGTTTTAGACTTTAAGAGAGCACCATTCGTGTAATTGCATTCGGTATTCCATGCGAAAAACTGAAATAATTTTGTTTTCAACAGAAATACATGAAAGCATAAATAGATTTTTAATTAATTAAGAAAACACCATTTTGAAAATTTACACCTCAAAGGTACAACCAGAAAGAAAGCTTTATATATGTTAATAAAAAATGTTCATTTAATAGTTAATAAGTGAATTTGAATAAAATTACAATTTCACTGATTGTCGAAATATTAGAATACTATATACATAATTAATACCACATAATTGAACATTGCTATTATTATATTACAATGTTATCTTTCAAAATTATTCGTGAAATTAGCGTACAACCTACGTTTTTAATATATGTATGTATTACAATTTTAATTTCAATTATAAAGAAAACAAAATGTTGCTTTCATGAATCAAGTATCTTTTCTTTTTCAAAATATATTATTATTTATTAGACATACAATTACACTTATATAAATTGCAATTTGTTGCAAAAAAATGTTATTGCAAATTACAGGCAAATTACTGTTGAATAATCTAATAATTATATTTATTTACCTTCCAATAGCAATAATTAAATAAAAATATAAACGTACTTTAATTTTATTAGCAATGTTTCCGATTTAACAGAACATAAAAGCTTCGTAACGATTTTCATACATATACATCGTGCGCTTATTCTTTCTTATTATTCTAGTCTACAATTTTTCGTGTCATCAACCTGACTCGTAACGTAAAATTTCGATCAATCATTCTTGCAGCTAATTAATATACGTCACGTCAATAGTTTTGCAATGGTAACCACCGAAACAAATGGATGCAAATTAATACGGGAAGTGACAATGCGGGCGCGGCTTTCGCACGTCATTGTCGCTCGCCTCGCACATACGCCGGGGCTGTAGCCGCGATAAGGACGCGTGATAATGACAATAACATCTGTTAAGGAACAATGTTATCAACAGGAAACTATCTCGGCAGAACGCATGCTCTTTGTGCAAAAATGGAATTACTCCGTCGCGACCAAAGAAGAGCCCGAGGGAGAGAGGGTGACGCAGAATTAGCCGCTTCCAACAAGGCACGAGAGATTATTAGATTCGCGATGCTGCCTGCACAGATGCTGCAAAGTTACGGAGGTCTCTCTTATTCGTATCCGCGACGAAAAACAGGGTCGCGCGTCAAACGCGCGGGATATTAACCTTTGTACACGCGCGTATACCTCTGCACGGCATTTTATATATAATTTTTATCTCTTAAATGAGTATCGTAATGTAAAGAAAAAAATAACTTTGAATAATATGTTAAATAATATTATGTTTTATAATATTTTTAATATAATATTATTATACGTTTATTTATAGCCACTGCATAAAAAAAAAACAGGTGTGTTATACGCATGTACAAGCTTTTTTCAGTAAATGATACGACACGCAGCATAAAAATCAGTAACGTCGCTGTGAATATTAAATGGTAATCACGATGAAAAATATATTTACGCTGCTCTTCGCTTCTCTTCCGCCGCAGTTAATTATTTTTCAGATTTATGTGTAAAAACAGAGGTGTATATTTTTGAGTTTTTCTAGTTTGTACGGTAACGTGATTGCAGATACCGCAAATAAGTTACGCCTCCACCAGCACGGAACTCTCGGACAAAGGCCGGTTCGAGTACTTCAGCAGGGTGGTGCCGCCGGATAATTTTCAGGCGCAGGCAATCGTCGAGGTGATCCATCTGCTTGGATGGAAATATGTTTCCACGGTTGCTGTAGAAGGCGAATACGGTGAGAAGGTAAGTGTAGCTGAATTTGCGAGAGGTAATACGAAATGTAAGAATGATCGTTGTTGACGTTTACTTGCAAAAGGAACGTTTCAAACTGTCCCTCATCGATTTTGACGAGCTTTGAATATGTTGTACAGTAGCGGAAAATAACAGACACGTATTTTTTTATTGGCTTCGAAGTATGTTAGAAATTAAAGCAATCCCTCGAAATAAATTCTACAGGTATATTTGATTACAAATGAATGAAAAAAAATGTTTTAGACAAAAAGGTTACAATATTAAATGGTAACCACATAGGTATTATATATAGGTATTTATATATTTTAACATACTTCCACCCTTTAATGCTATTTTTGCAAAAATATAACATTAAAAAATCTAAATACATGATTAGGGGAGATCGGGGCAAAGTCGTCACCGGGGCGGAATCGTCATTGTAATTATCTCGAAATCTGTATGTTGTGTGAACTCGCCATTAATACTGTAAACGCGACTTATGGTACCCACGTGACCAACGGAGTTTAGTGAAGTTATGTGCCATGTTGTGATTCTTATCGAGACAAACGTGTTTTCGGAGGTCAAAAGTTAAATTTTTTGCGTGTCCAAAATTTGTAATATCTTAAATATTATTGTGTCTCCGAATCTCAAAGTAAGTGATTCTAAAGAGTAATGCATGCTGAACACGAATCCAGTAAAGTTTTTTTATTTTCATTGATTTCTAATATTTTATGAGCGACCAAATTTGAAACTTGTGTCCGGGGCGAAGTCGTCACCAAGCCATATCATGGAGGCTTCGGGCAAAAATCAAAGTCAAAGAAGTAGCAGTGGTCGGATTCCGGCGAGGACTTGGATAATATATGTGCTGTGTGTGCTCAGAGATGACAGAATAGAGCTACGAGAAACGTGCGAGCGTAGGGCACATAAGTGTGTGCGCTTTTCTTGTAATTATTTTCCGCCATTGTGTTTTTAATTAATGTTTTTATTTTTCTATTAAAAAATAATTAATAAAATGTATCCTATCATTTTTTATGATCGGAATTATGAATTTTTAATTAAAAATTCAGTCTGAGAATGGAGTGACGACTCCACCCCGGCAATTTTGACATTTCAATTTTTGCACTTTTGTCGTTTTATCACACTATACCAGTTGAACAAAGCGACGTAGACCAAAAACTTCCGTATAAATTTTGTAGTCAAGGGTTCACTCTTTACAACGATATACCACATTTTACTAAAATTATTTGTTTTGTTGTTAAAAATCGGCACCAAAAAAATAGTGACGACTTTGCCCCGGTCTTCCCTACTTTTTTTATATACTTGACGGTTTCAGAGATATTCACTCGACAATCAAATATATGGAATTTCTCTCGAGGGGTTGTTTCAACCCCTAAACATGCTTCGAAGCCAATAAAAAGAGTACGTGTCTGTTATTTTTCGTTACTCTACAACGTATCCGAAACCCATCAAACGTTTGAAACTGTCTTTCACTTCTCTTGTTAGATTCAATTATACGCACATTTTCCGTCTCAAAAAAATATATCCCATAACAACAGAAAAATGTATCCAATAACAGCAGAATATGGTATTTTTTGTAAAAACGTCATACAATTTTTTCATTACTGCATTTCGCAAAAATATTTAGCAAAAAAATTATATTGATTAGGTATGTAATTATGTATGGAAATAATATAAAAATGTTTTTACATCGATTATTATTAATGATTTTATTAAATTTTTTACATGCATATTTGTACGTATCTGTTATACATATATTTCTTTTGAGGGATTATAATTGAATAGGTATTGCAATAACCACACGCACAGTAAATCCTTCACGTACGTATTTTACATGTTTCAAATTACGATTAAATTACCAAAATTCGGAATTTCCAGTTATTGCAATGTCATTTTTTGATTATTAAATATAGTTCTACTAAATCATGCTTTGACACAAATTATGTTTAAAATCTGTTATTATATCACTAATTGATAAAAATGAGATATTCACGTATAATATAACATTTAATTGCATTCTTTTGTAAAATTGCGACGTACAATAACGTTAATGCTACGTTAAAAATAACAGTTATTATAACAATGATAATTATGATAAGAGATTGTTATGTACGACCGCGTTAACAAGCGAAGATGAAACTAATTGCGCTATCAAGCGAGAAAACTTGATGTTAAAACGCTATCCGCCGCTTAAATTAGGCGATTAGTATGCGGCGGAGATTCCGCGTGAAGAGATTTACCGGAGTAATCCAATCTTACAAAAATTGCAGAAAGCAAAACTTTTTTTGGTCAGTATCCACGCTTCTTGAATTTTTCGTTCCTTAATTGCAAACTTTGTGGAAAAAATTAGTTAGGATCTATAAGATCTTAGCTAGAAAGATAAAGGAAAAAAAATGAAGGTCTAAAAATACGAGGGTCTTATTTTATTATTTTTCCATAAACATAAATTGATACTTAAAAAATTAAAGACGTGGGAAGTAAAATTTTCTGAATTTAATATATTGAAAAGCAAAAACCTAAAAGTACAGATTTTTAGATTTTTTACACCAGATAATTTTAAATGTTCAAATTTGTTTTTAATTAATCGCCAATTATTAGTGGTATATTTTATTACGAGTTTGAATAGACGCGTTTCTCCTAGTAATTGAAATTCCAATATTGTTCGATATTATTACCACATAATGAACGAATGAGCAAATATAATAATTCAAGGGGGGTGCGATAACTCGTTAACCAGCAATATACCCATAATTTCTCCTGCGTTGAGGAACGCCACACAAAAATATATATATTTATATTCGCCGCGAACATTGATCGAGGTACGATTTTATGGCCCAATTATGCTAGTGAAATAGCCACCTTATGACGATTATGCTCGCGACAATGGTGTCTTCCGTGTCTCGGAACGTAGAAATTTGCCGACACGACGTTTGTGAATTTCCGCTCTTACGCTGCGCGCGCGCGCTCTCGGAATGACTCCAGACGGTATGATAGTAATTGCATTCTGAGCAATTAAACCGGTATCAGTGATCAGCCTAATTAATCATTATCAGGTATCATAATAGCTCGGCAATTACTTCAGCGTGAGTTAGTTCACTATGTTGATCTCGTTTTCGAAATATCGAAGCTGCATAATTGTCAATCTATGAATGTGAAGTAAATTACACAGTAAATTAACTGACGTATTAACAGGCTATTTTACATAAAAGGATATATTTGTCTATATTTTAAACAATATACTATGTCGTTAAAATAGATATACCGAAGAAAGGGACTTCAATTTTGGCGAAATTCGCGGTTGTGTCAAGTATATAAGTACAGGAAAAATTAAAGTTTATAATATAACGAAATAAATAATTAAAATTTATAATAATCAGTAATGAATGCGCGGCTTTTTCGAAAATTTGAAAAAAATACATGAAACCGCTAAAACACAAAATACGATAGTGGTCAAGGAGATAATGAGACGCCTACATTTCCTTCTGGCTTTTAAGCTGAAATTTATGAGTCGTTTCTTTCGCTAAATGTTGGGCGCACAGCACAGCTGCGGCTGTTGCAAATGCGGTGCATATTTAAACGAGCATAAGCTCGCGTAAAACGATTACACCGAATATAGCTTCGTTAATGTCCTTACACCGACGCGGGATATAAAGTGCATAAGACGATTTATCGCAAATTAAAGAACGAGAAGTGCGGCGCGTATCATACAAATTGGATCTGAAAAAGATCGGGATTAGAGAAAACTTTTTGCAACAATCGCGTGTTCTATTTCCAATTAAAATTTATTTTGCAATTAATAATAAGACTAATTATTAATTGAAAAAATATTTTGTTATTAAATTAAAGAAATTGTCCAGAAATAAAATCGTTCGTAATTTTAGGCCATCAGAGACGCAAAATCGTTCTTAGACGCAAATACATATAATGTGGCTCGTAATACACCGGAGATGTCTAAAAAGAGATCGGAATCGCGTATAGAAATAGAAAGAAATAAGGTCAAGTGCGACCAATTGTTGAGGAAAGCGAGCTTTGTTAAGAAAATCGGCCGATAAGACAACATCTTGTCATAACAACTCGGTATTATTTCCCGAATAATTATATCGTTTATCTTTTTCTCTCTTTGTCAATCTTTTTCTTTATATTACGCCAAATAAACCCGCAATGAGAATCAGATTGCATCTTTACATCAATATTTTTTAATTTTCTATCACATTTCCTCGCTTGACTTCTTTCTACTTTTTTAAATTTTTCTTCTCTTGCGACATTGAGATTAATTTTCACCGGTTCATAAAAACATTAATTAGATCTTTTTGCTTAACTTCGCAATTAATTTGCCCGTAATTTTATTTTATTGCACGCACATTGAGATATATACTGTAAAGTTTCATTTTTTTGAGCTACTAAAAATAAAACGGTTTTTGCGAACTCGGAAAATTTACGCCAACACTTTTCGCATAACTGAGTACAGCAAAGTTGATTGTACTTGAATGTATTGTAACTGATTAAGAAGACTTAACTTTAATACAATTGTAACCTTTTATTTCACAGCAGGTGTCGGGTAGTCTCACCAATTTCCGCTTTCTTAGCTAATCACTCTTACGATAAACGATAAAAGAAAGTCTTAATCTTATAGAAAATTAGTTCCTGGTCATTGTCAAAGAAATAAGAGCTTTGCAGGCTCATTTATTACAATGACATCGAATAACAGTAGACAGAAATTTGTAAATAAATAAGATACATTGGAAAATTAATGATTGTTCTAAGATTTACAGTTGTTATTTAATATTTTTTATAAAAATTAAAATATTTAATAAAGTTAAAAAATTAAATAAAGAGACAATTTTCTTGAATTTTTCTTTAAAGAAACTTCTGCAATAGACACGTATAACTAAATTTGTATTAATTTGTGAAAAAGATAAATTTAAATAATCAAAAATTTAATTGATTGTATTAAGGAAAAAAAATTGTAGGTTAATGCAATATTATAATTAAAAGTTAAATAAGATTTAAATATAAAATAAAGTATAAGAACTAAATGTAAGAACTATAAGCTAATATTTTCAAAACATATTATTAAAAAAGTACAAAAGGTAGTGATTCCGCATTCAGTCGATTTGGATAATCAGGATTCATGTAATCAACGTACTTTCAATCAAGGTACTGCATTTATTACCATGGAATATTAAAATCCACGATTCGGAATCGTGGAAATGTCGAGAATTATTGAACGGTATAATTATTGTAGCGCGGGTACGGATATTGCGAGGATGATTTTTCATCCGGCGCACCGTAATAAATTGTGACAATTTTTATTACGCCGTGAAACAGACGCCGATAACACCTGCGGTTGCAGTTCGGTGCGTCCCACATCTTTCTTCGGTCGTCTTTTCTTGTTTCCACCCACCACGTATACACAGCGGAAATATATCACGAAACATAGGCGCTATCGCGAAGACAGACGAGCCCAGATCGACGTATCTATTTTGCGTGTATATACCATTCGGCGAGAAATGTGCGAGACAGGCAGAGCTCATCCTGGGTGATTGTCGCGTCGTATCTCGACGCTTCGACAATTGTACATTGGCAACTGCACGGATAGATTATGTCGATAGAGGAAATTTATAATGTTAACCGTGTTAAGTCCAACTAACTAAACCTCTCAATTCTCAATACGATATAACAAAATTTATTTGAATTGTTCGAAATCTAATTTAAGACTGTCAATAATTCAATATCGAATTGTCCCAAATCTCACAGAACTGCACTGCAAATTCTTTTGAATTTAAATTGAATCAGATTTTATTCAAGATTTACATTTGAAATTGATACAATATTTGTTTACTTAGCATAAAATGTAAAAAAAATGAATAAACTGCGAAATAAACTTCTCTTGTAAAAATGTAAAAGACTCTCTGAGAGTGCAGAAACTTACCGCTGCCTTACATTTTCTTCATGCACCACGAACAACAGCCTGCTACTTAATGGCCGCGATATCTCATGCAAATTTCGTGGATTTATCGTCAATGATAAATGAGTATGTAAATATATGAGCCGGTAGATGCGCCTCAGACATCGTATTTTTCGCCTGTATTCCAATTGTTTGGCAAGAAAACAGACTCGCACGTATACTATCGCTAAAATTCGATTTCTCATCGGATGGACGGGCAATTTATTTGCGGCTGAAACTCTATTTTCAGGGCATCGCCAGTTTCATTGCCCTCTCGTCGGAGTACAACATCTGTGTCGCAGTCAGCGAGAAGATCCTGAGAAACGCCAAGACTGAGGACTTTGATAGAATAATTGAACGGCTGAGCTCGAAGCACAACGCCAGGGGAGTCATAATATTCGTCGACGAGGATAACATAAGGTGAGGGATTTAATCTCGAGTACGCCTTCGTTGTATTTAAATAAGGTCGTCTCTACATAAAATATATGATGTGAGGAAAAAGCGCGCGATTGTTGAAATCTGCGTCGCATGAAAAATGCGGAGTGCTCGCGCTTTATTTATTTTCTTTTTTCGCATACACAGCAGAAAAATGGAATTACTGGACTGCGAGAGGAATGATTTTTTTTTACTTTTTCTACCGTTGCGTTCTATATTGGGAGAAACGTTCTCAAACATCGAACAAATTATAGTTTTTGTGTAACTTATTTTTACTATATAACGTTCCCGCTGTACTCGTTAAATTAAGGAAACGCGTATCCGACGCAAAAATTGAGAAAATAAAAATATTGAAACGTGTATAATTTTAACGTAAAAACGTATTTTTAATATATATATTTAAATTAAAAAATGCAATCTTTTATTAAAAATGCAAACTGCGTTTGACGGTACATTAAAAAACTGTGTTTCACAAAAGCAAGGAAATTGTGGACATGAAGTAAGGAATATTAAACAATAATAAGTAAAACAAGACCGATGTAGTATACAATTAGAGATATTGCCATTTAAGGTCCGTGCTGGATCTTGGTGGTCTAATAATAATATTCTGCGAATTTTGTATATTTTAATCTTGAAAGGCTCAAATGATTAAAAATGAAACATATATAAAGAACGGCATAATGTATATTTTTTTTAAATTCAGTAAACTGATTTTTTATCGATCTTTAAAGCACAGCTCTTTATTGTCAGTAAATCCACACATTCAAATCGATAATCGATTTTCCTTTTTGATGCTAATAATTGCTAATATTGTTTATATACGTCGCCTGTAAAAAGATGTTTTTCCTACTATTAACCGGTTATTGCGATAAATATCACCAATACCTCAATGGTCGAATTGGTAAAGGAATTGGAAAGGAAAACTCAGGTTTAAAGATCTGGCTGGGAGATAAATATTTTTCGCAATAAATTCTTTACAGTAATTTAAGAAGAATGTTTATTAGCGTCATAAAGTTAAATCGAGTATCGATTTAAATATGTGGATTTACTGTTTCAACAAAAAGCTGTGTTTTAAAGACCGACAAAAAATCGGCGCGCAGTTACTGAGTTAAAAAAAAGTATACAAAATTTATAGAATATTATTATATTAAGCTACCAAGATCCAGCCCGGTCCTTAAATGTCAATTTCTTTAATTGATGTAATAATATATAAAGAATGTATAAAGAATAGTAATTTAAACTATTATTTTTGAAACAATTAATATCACATTTTATGATCGATTTAACCTCAATCATGCATATTTGAACAGCCACAACGCAGTCGAGCAGCGAAATTTGCCCCAAATTCCTATGTCAAAATCTGGTACATAATGACGTAATATTGGCGGATAACGTGGGACGTGTAATTTCCGATTATCCTAAGATCTAATGCGATATCGGTAGAAACAATATTGAATTAGGAAGTCGGCAGCCGTAATTAGGAACGGGCCGCTCGAACGCACATGCGTTCGCCGCGTTTGTATATGTTCTAAGCTATATAATTACGACTATAATTAAATATCATGGTGACGACGAAACGTCGCATTACGGCAACGAGCTTTATTCAACTTTGCGTAATCAACGTAGGAAAACAACTGTGCGAACGGACGGGTGTCGAAACAAAAGGTAAAAAGGATTTTAGAATTCTGCGCTACGTGTAGGAACTTTTACGATCCAGCGAAAGAGGGACATTCTCTCTCTACCATTCCAACGCGATTTAATATTATTCTCTTTCCATATATAATCATTATCAGATTAAACAGATTTTTGTTTTTCTAGAATGATGTTTCTCAAAATAAAATTGTCGAATGAAACTTTGAGATAAAAATCTAACACTCGGATCTGCGTGTTCAGAGACTGAAGCGTTGGATTTTTGAAAACGGTCGTGCATTTCAACGACGACAGTTAAAAGCGAATCGGGGCGTAACCGAGCGGACGAGATAAGAGGACGGCGATTAATCTCGCGTTCTATAAAGTCGATACTATAGCTTTTAAAGCTAGACAGAAGATGAACGAAGGCGAGCGTACGACCAATTCGCTCGCACTGGTAATTCAAAATTCTGGCTATACAATTTGATTGAAAAGAGGAACACACGGACGTCGTCGTAGCTAAATAATCTATTAAAGTCAGTGCGGTAAAATCGACGTTAAAATCGTGGTGATAATAATGGCTATGATTTGTTACTGGGGTTTTTTTTTACATTTTCATCAATAGTTTTTTTTTCCTTCCTAAAAGTTATAAGTAAAACGTATCATTTTAAAACACAAATTTTCATAAAAAATTTGATAATGTTAACAATAAAAGTATATGATCGTTACTATATTTATATACAATTTTTTTAATACACATTATTTTATAAAATTCCTTCTATAAACTCGATTCAAGTGATTAATGCATGATTAATTATTTTCTGCGTGATGCGAGCAATTTTGTAACATTTTTAAATAAAATTACGCATTTACTGAATTAAACGGTTTGATCGTTTGGAATATGTAGTACGTTTATTGCCAGGCTATATTTAAGTAAATATCGACTTTATCTCAATATTTTCAGGGAAGCTTTTTAATGCAGTCAAAAAAAAAACATGAGATCCAAAAACATTTTGTTTATATTATTTTCCTGAACATAATGATAATCACTCTACGTTTTGCGTCAGTCTCACACACATCATACAGATGAGAGGCCTTTGGCTGATTGTTAGAATCTTTTTTTATCACATTGACCACTTATGTAAGTTTCAATCTTTCATTCATTTTTATTTATATTTTGCCTCTGGTTAGTCATTTTGTTTTTTTTTGTATTTCATATAGTGACCAATGAATCGGTTTACACATCACATTTGACTTATTTTAAACATGGAACTTCAATTTCGCGCTTTTACCAACGACGAAAATTTTTATAACTTTTTATTGATTGTGACTTATAATTTTTTTTTATAACCACACTGTTAATCACCGTTAACATTTGACTTCCATATTTAAGATTGACCATCAGTCATTGTTTCTCAATCTCTGTTTCGACATAATGCGTTTGACAAATTAATTTAATTATGACTTTTATGACTTTAATTTTATGTTTCTACGTAATTTTTCCTTATTCCTCTTAAGGCTCCTGATCCCTGAGCCGAGAACTCTGCGTTGACGGTGGCGCCGCGCCGTACCGTCGCGGCAGAAATAAGAACTCTCTCCTCTCACTCTCTCCAATGGAGAATTCTGTCTTGTGACATGTTGACAACCTTATTTTAAGTTGCGGTATATTTCTTTATTATTCGCTCTGTACTTGTGCTCTAACGTTTAACGTATTCGTGAAACTCGTAAAATTGACCGTATGGTAAGATTTGCAAGAAATATATATGCGGAAGGAACATTCACCACTCCTTTTGATAGTCGTCAAACGGCTTGTTTTCCATATGTTTAGGCTTCGTTTTATGGCTGTTTGTTTATTGTCGAGGGAAAAGGATAGTATCCGGTCAATTTTTGAAGTGTGCTGAAACGATCTGTCGTGATTTTTTATTGAAATGTCTTTTTATTTCGGAAAATACCGCAACTTAAAATTAAGTGTTTTCCTCGCCTCGATAGTAAGAATCCAATATGGCCGCGGTGACTACCCAGGAGCCTTAATGTAATATTGATTTAACTCAGAACGAAAACTAAGTAAGTTAATGGAACGTAAACGATTGTTATTTTTATTTAATAAATTTTATATTTAAACCAACATCTATTTTTGCTTTTGCTTGAAAAATGGCTGTGTAATTCATAATTTAGCTTTAGTATTATCAAGCGTATGTGTTTTATTTTTATTGTTAAGTAAATATCGTTAATCTTTTACTAAAATCCATTTTAGTGACCCTCTTTCAATTAATGATTACCAAAGCGATGAAATAAAATAAACGAATGTAAAATTAATCGTCGGACGACATCAACGAAAAACCACATTGTTAATCATTCATACGGTAATAGCGACGCGAATGCGTGCCATGATATATTCGCGCACACGCACGTCCATCGCATTTCATTCGCAATCCCTTATAAGCTATCGTTCAAATCCCGCTGGAAAATCATTCATTATGGAGACAACTGTGACCTAAAGCAGCACGCAATTGCAAATTTTGATTATAATTACACCGTCACGTCGTTGCGGCGCTTAACACACGCAAACTGAAAATCTATTTTAATCAATTATTAAGCGACAATGATGACGAACGCAATTATTACGATTCGCGACGTTATACAGAAATTTCATTAAGAAATGTCACAGTAGGTATTCTTGCATTTCTATCATAGTACTTCATTACAGAAAAGCATTCTTTCATTATATTGCATTTCCCAACATACCATACCATACCTCTTTAATTCTTTTATCGTCGGTATATATTTGGTTAATTGAGCCATTGAGTAGACTGATGTCAGTCATACATGTACATCAGAAATAAAAAAATGTTGTTAAGTCCTTAATGCACACACACACACACACACACACACACACACACACACACACACAATTTAGAAAAATCTAGCTAAAATTCTATTTTATCATAATTCTTTTTCTGCAGTCGTGAAAAAAAGTTGAAAACAAGCTCCTGCTGTAAAAGTGTTTTATATCATGCCAGTAATTAAATATTACACTCGTAAAATTAAGCATTATAAATACATTAAAAGTATTTTTAAAATGTATTATAAATAAATATTATTTATTATTACTCACTTATATGTCGAGACTATAACGAATCATCATAAAGCTAAAGAAAATTTAGCAGAAATATGATGTTTCTCTTCCGTGTCCGTCGGAATGCACGTCGTGTTTCAATTTTTTTTTCCTCGGAAAGTCCTCGGTTTTCCTTTCCGATCTATTTGATTATAAGATGTATCCTAACATAAAATGTTATTCGAAAGTTTCTCGCAATGTTGAAAATGGTTGCCGCGCGCGCGGTGACCAAGTTCTCGAC